TTTAACCAGCATCAAAATCCCTACCTCCCTGTGTATGCTCCTGGGGACCCCCAGCACCTTTGGCAAAGACAAACTGTATCCTAATACCTGGCTTTCCCATTGCTACTTTCATCACTTTGCACTGAATTACACTTCTCTCTGCTCCAGCATCCATGCCCACATGCAATTTGAGTACCATGTGGAGTCCAAGCCTGAACCCAACCTGCTGGCAAGGGCTTAGCTCAGATTTCTGGCTGTGTTATAGCCTCTCCTACTCTTGGACCTATATGGCAGAAGTTGGTGAGCCCCACACACCATTCAGCAAGCAGCTATATTTATCACATTGCTTTCTGTAAAGCCCCATGTTCATGCTCTGTGTTAGAGCTCTTCTCCCATCGTATGATCCTGGACCCATGCCTCACCCATCACACATCCCAACACAGCACTGCTAAAGGAAAGAGAGAGATTGGCAGGTCCTCAGTTGCTGAGCTACTTTTGGGAACTAAAACATATCCTGCAAGCTGCTCTGTCCATTTGAGATAAAGTTTTCCAGATAAATGTTGTTAGTACAGCTGTACCTGCGTGCCTGCCTGTCCTAGTTTTGGCTGGGACGGTGTTAGCTCTTTTTTTAGCAGCTAGAAGAGCTCCGTGTTTTGGTTTTACTCAGAGGCTCGTTCTGAGAAGAATGCTGATAGCAAGCTGATGTTTGAGACTCCAAGGACTTTTCAGTGTGCTGGAGTGCAGAAACACGGTGGAATAAGGGGGGGAGCATAGCTGGGACAAGGGGGACATGATTCCCCTTGTGATTTGTGGTGGAACTTAAGATTGAGGGCCAAACTGGCCAATTAGCATTCCATATCATGCAGCATCATGCCCAGTATAAAAGTGAGGGTCAGCCGGACAGAAGGGCTTTTGCGCTTTGGCTCTTTCACCGCTTTTGCTCTTTTGCGCTTGCTGCGCTGTTGCTCTATTGTTTTTCTTTCTTTTTCTCTCTCTCCCAGTACTCCCACTCTCGGAGTACTCTCTCTCTCTCTCTGCCCCTCTCTATTTCGGGGCCTCATGTTCGTCTGGGATTGCAGCTTCAGGACGAGATGGGCTTCGCATACGAGGGGGTGGTGAGCATCTACACTGTGTATTAAATCATCTGTATTAAATTGTGCTTATCTCAACCCACAGGTTTCCCATTTATCCTTTAATTCTCTCCCTCATTCCTGGGGGTGGGGGAGGGGGAGTGACTGGCTGTGTGTGGGGGGTCAGCCTAACCCACGACACTGCCCTACCACCAATGCCTTTTTCAACAGCATGTTAACACTTCTACCAGAAAAGCTTCCACTAGTTTCTTGAGCAAAATAAGTGCAACTGACAAAAAAAAAAAAGCCCACACAAAGGTGTCTGAGCTTGGACTTTGATAAAAGTATACATGCACACATGTGCATGTATAAGATCACTCTCCTGCCACTACTATAAATATTTTAGAGGCAAGGATGCAGATGAGAATTTTCAAACTTGCATCTCAGCAAAGTCTTCAAAAACCCAGACAGTTGCTTACATAAAGGAGCTGATTTAAGACCATTTTTGGAGACTGCTATGTTTCTCTCCTTGGTCACACACAGCATTTATATCTGGACTGTTTATGTCCTTGTTATGTGGCAAAGAACTGATACGTTGCAGTGCAAACACAACACTCCGCCAGCAACAACATAGATTTTTCTCAAGTGCTCACCACATCAAAATTAAAGAAAACTTGTAACAGAAATAGGAGCACTGATTACTTTATGACGTGTAACTGTAGACATACAATACTTTTTCAGACCTTTACAACCACTAATAAAACAAGTAAGCTTGAAATTATGTTTTATGATTCTGTCTCATTGTTCTTTTACAATAGTAAAAGCAATATACAGTTATTAGCATGAAAATACCAGTGTTCGTAAGTAATTTCGTAAGAATGTCTGTGTTCTGCATCCAAGTTGATTTGGGACTACCTCATCCAATACATGCAATTTACATATCTAGCCCCAGAAGGATTAATGGCGTGGTCACTTTGGACAAGAATGCTCTATTAAAATGTCTCTCCTGCTAACATTCATAGTTCACCTTCCACTCCCAGTGCTTCTTAAGGTAAGGAAAGCTTTTGTTACCAGAAGGAATCAATGTGAGTAAAACTTGATTTTTAGGAGCCTCTCAAAGACCAAGAGTTGGGGAGCCTGATGTTTTCAACAATAAGGTCTGAAAAGTGACTTAATCAGAAGCAACAAGTATTTTTTCCCAATTTGAAAGTGGAAATACCCAAAGCATATGACTTGCAATAAAAATGATTAAGTTGGCAGCGCAACAGTAGAAACACAGAAACTGCCCCAGGCCTGCAGCTCTTACCTATCTGCAGTGATTCTCCTCTCATCAAAGGTACTGTGTAGCCTGAAGTCACACAGCTGATACTATATACCTTTGATAGGTGGTATTTGTCCAGGCTTTTGGAATGGAAATACAGCCAAAAAGTTGTTACAGTGTAAGTGTGTATTTGCCTGAAATGCAATAAAAATATACAACACCAGAACAACTTGGAAACTTTGATGATGCACAACAAAAGCGACTTTCATGATCTGTCAGTGCTTCAGGCACTATTTTGTTACTATTCACATACCACCTCACACACAAAAAAGTGTCCATACAGGTTCATACTAAAGGTTCACCTCAAATCAATACCTCTTTTCCAACAGCAGCCCGTGAAGTGTTCTCACACTTTTTCCGTAACTGAAGACCAAACAGAGTGATACTTTTAACGATATGCACTGCCTCAGCTCCCAGCAGTCCAGTCTTCGAGACTTCAACAGCTGGAGGTTGCTTCTGCATGGTTTTCCTCTAACACAAGTGTCTAAATGTTCCCTGAACCCATTCATATTTTTAACATCCTAGGTTTCTACAGCAGTGACTTCCACAACTCAGTTTATGCCTCTCAGAGACATGAAAGAATCCTACTGTATTTTTGAGGCATTACTTCCCTGGATACCTGTGCTGACCAAGGGTACTGTATCAATATGCCCACACATTAGCAGACTTACTAGTCCACAGTTTCCCAACAACACTCTGAACTCTTTTAAAAGAGCTCAGATGTAAGTGCTAACTTCCATTTCTGCAGTATTATGCTGGTTGGTGTGTAGAAAGGTGCTTAAATCAGTATTTCATCAACTTGATATTTGAGTCTGGGGATTCCCAGTAAGTTCCATTTCTCCTCACAGTCTGCCATTACTCACTTACTTCTTCCTGCTCCAAAAATCTTGTTCTTAGCATGACTTGTTCTATTGCTATATCAGATCCCTTCCTTCCAAGGTAAGGTTACAGTGTGGGAATCGACTTAATGAATATTGCAGCTCAGTTAGCTTTTTCATCATGAACTTATCTTTTGTTCACATTTCGTAACAGTCATTTTTACTTTTTTATTCTCAAAAATCTTTTTTTCATGCAGGGTTATTAGGGTTTAAAAAGCAATTTAGAGGTTACTATCCTTTCTATCCTGTCTTTCAACATGATCATCATCTTTGAGGAGGGCCACAAAGATGATCCGAGGGCTGAAGCACCTCTCCTATGAAGACAGGCTGAGAGAGTTGGGGCTGTTCAGCCTGGAGAAGAGAAGGCTCCAGGGTGATCTTATTGCAGCCTTCCAGTACTTAAAGGGGGCCTACAGGAAAGCTGGAGAGGGACTTTTTACAAGGGCGTGTAGTGATAGGACAAGGGGCAATGGATTTAAACTAAAAGAGGGCAGATTTAGGTTAAATATAAGGAAGAAATTCTTCACTGTGAGAGTGGTCTACAGGCACTGGAACAGGTTGTCCAGAGAAGTTGTAGATGCCCCATCCCTGGAAGTGTTCAGGGCCAGGTTGGATGAGGCTTTGGGCAACCTGGCGTAGTGGAGGGTGTCCCTGCCCATGGCAGGGGGGTTGGAACTAGATGGTCTTTCAGGTCCCTTCTAAACCTAATCATTCTATGATTCTATGATTGCAGCTTGCTGAAGAGGTTTTTCTTATAATGTTAAAAAAGTTAATACAAATTCCTCAGTATAACAGAAACCTTTTTTTTAGTTTAAAGAAACATCTCCAGTAGAAGATCAGTTCCTTCCTAACAATACTGTACCTTTTTCACCACCTCCTTTATATTGTTTTATTGTGTTGCTAGTGGAAGCTAACTAGAGATAAGCCAAATCAGTTCAGCAACTATGTTTAGATAATGCTTTGGAAAAAGTTGCTTTGTTTATGATATGTTAATATTACCTTAGTTTCAAGATCTTTACCTGTATTTGTGTGCACGGTTGTTCTAAACAGCTTGAAAAAATAAATTCAATCTCCATGACAAAAAAGCAAGCCCTACTCAAGCCCAGTTCAATCTCTTCTCAACAAATTAGCAATAGACTCATAATTCAGCTCTTCCTGATGAAAGATCAGACTTTGCAGCACAGAACAGGTAACTGTGGGAAAAGCTGAAGGGGCACAACAAATGATTCTCATCTAGAAGTCTGAATGGGCAGTAGGAGGAGAAATCTGTCTTTAACTACAAGTATCAAATAACTGTTGAACCTATGAGTACAATTCCTCAAAGGCAAAAGAGAAAACCATTTAAAATATTATGTTCATAACCACTGTATTAGTAGGCCAGCAACATTCAGAAAACAACAGGAAATGATCAAGCAACCTAGAAACAAGAAAAATGAGTATTTTTATTTCTGTGCTTTTAAGATTGTTCTTTTGATTGTCCCGAAAGTGACAGTATTTTGAAAAGAAAGCAGGATAAAGGATAGTTGTTATGATCATATCACTTGGTTTCTCACAGTCTTTGCTATTCATAACTGACATCACATTACTGTTTTTAAGTTACACATTAATATATGTTTCATGTTCATAAGGGACAGTTAAACAAAGATGACACAAATTCATAGGAAATTTAAATATACAATCTCTCTTGTCACATCTACAAAGCCGGCAGCGTGTGTGCAGAAATTGGAAAAAAAATACAGTATATATACATACACCCACAAGTCTCCAGGCTTCACTTATCACTGCATACTGGAGCCGGTTCAGAACAAACCCTTCAATTTCTCTGTTTAGTTTAACAGGAGATTGACCAATCTTCTTCATTAGGGCATACGTTCTCTCTGTAGTAGAAGGATCTGTTTCTGGATGAGGAACAATTTCAACCAATGGCACAAAGTAAGGCGGATTTACCTCAAGAAGAAACACAAAAGAAGAACGTCAACTATCAACAGATTAACAGAAAAAGTTAATATAAAGCATCTTTATAGCTTGCTACTAGTGTGGACATTTTCCAGTGAACACAGTAAGCCCCATCTTCAGACCCTGAAAGACTTTACCAATTCAATAAAAGCTGGTGTATTGATTCAAATTAAAAAAAGTAATTAATCTTGCACTAAATATAATTCTATTTAACCCCAGCAAAGTTCATGGAGCTAAACTAAAGATGACAGCACTCAAATAGTACTAGAAGACTTTATAATGACTTGAGTAACTCATGTTTTCTCAATATTCAGGCTGTTTGTTGTTTTAAGACACAAGGCCACCACCTGTCTTTCCAAATGAAGCAAGGCATTTCCTTTTAGATATTCAGAAACTTTATAACAAAATTATTGCTAAACACCACCTGCAAGATGCAACACTTAATAGATAACCTTCTACTGGCCCAAGCCTGTAAATATATGCCTAACACAGTAACAGATCTCACATAAAATATACTTAGAAAAAGTTGCAAAACAGGTTACCTTCACATACTGTACTTACTTAAAAAAAAAAATAAAAATAATTACCCCTCCCTGACTCTTCCCAAATGTAATTTTTCATCAAGTCAAGACCTTTGTGTAATGTATTTCTGAAGTATAAACAAAAAATTCTAAAGAACATCCTAGAAACAGCTGAAAGTTCTTCAGGTCATAGTGCTACAGGCAGTAACACTGCCTGCACGTTTTTTCCAAAAGTAGCAGTTCTTCAACCATATTGTTTAGGTGTTAAACTCAGCTCTCAGCCTAGTGTCCAGGCAATAGGACGAGCTAACATATCATAAATTACTACCAGAAATAACATTGACATCTAAAGAATGGTAATTAAGTGCTGATTCTTTCACCATCCTCCTTTATAGTCAACTGCTCTTAACTGTCCTCATGTAAACACAAGCACCAGATTTAGGATTTAGTCACAGTGACATGCCAGCAGTCTTTCCTCTCTGCATGTTCTTTCTTTTCAGTACTTCCATGGTTCCTTTTACTGTAGGGTCTGACCAATGCAAAACCTATTGTAGGTTATGTCTGCTCTAACTACTGATGTAACACACTTACTTCATCCCCTTTAAAGTGCCTTGTGTTCCAGCATAACCTTTATCACTCCAGTCTCTTTGGCAGTGCCACCACGAGCACTGAGAAAGGCGTGATGGACACCATCGCAGGCGTGGTGCCAGGCAATTTAGCAAGACCCAAACCACTGCAAGCACCAAGAAGTTCTCTGAAGGCTTTTCTAACCCTTACGTATATCACAGATTCCAATCAGGAAGAGGACAAGTTAATTGTTGAGAGAGACTGAGACTATTATAAATTTCTTCCAAGATTAGTGTTGACAGTCATCTTATTCAAATATTCTATTTCATGAACTTGGCACGGGGACTATACGGGTGTGTTCAGGAGCACACTGAGAAGACTTAGGAAGACAATTTTTTAGGAGTGAGATAATAAGACGTTGGTAAAAACTAAAAGTGATACAATGTGGATGAAATTGGGGGTGGGAGAAGGTTTCTAAAAATGAGAAGGGGAATGCAAAGCCTTTCTTCAGGGAGAAGAGCTTACATTTCTCAGCCTAACAAAATGAAAGCTAAGAAAGGATATGACAAAGTAAACATGGAGAAAGAATTAAACTACACAAAAGCTGCCAACAAACATCAAATTAATTTTAATGGACTGTCAATAAGATTCAAACAAAAATTAGAAGACGCAAACAACTTCAAACAGGACTAGTGAAGTTAAAAAAAACCAAACAACAATTAACTGATTGAGCTTAATATCTTTTTAAGGTGATTTGAGTACACGGTTTCCTGTAGAGCAAGGGACTTCACTCAATGGCACACAGTCTCCTCTACCTCATTATTTCTAGCTGTGTGACCTAGCAGGCATACACAGTACACAAGAAATGAACTGCTCTGCAGAAGACCTCCCCCGATACACTGCCTGAGACTGCTTACAGAGAACAGCTGTGCCTGCAAGTATTGCATGCACTTCTATCCCACAGCTGTGCTATACGATTTCATCTTTTTTTTCCCCTAACTACTGAACCTCTTTCTATGTTAAGCAAAAGGATGAGCTCCTTCTGCCCTTTGGGCATTTAATTTCATTTCTCTTCAACACTCTCACTGATGTGTCAAAACTTCTTGTTTTCACAGTGCTGTGCCAGAGGCTTTACAGCTTTAGCTTTTAATTTTTCTGATGTGTCAAAACTTCTTGTTTTCACAGTGCCTCCCAGAGCTGCTTGCTTCCTGCAGCCACCATTCCCCATGTCCCATCATCATGTTCAAGATGTTAGTAAGGCCATGGTTAAAACAAAAAACACCGAAAGCCAACAACTACTACAAAGCAAGCATGTTTCCTGACATAACAGATGCAGAAAGAGCCCTGGAAGAGTACACTGGCTCACAGCTCCTCCAGTACGCTTCCCTTGGAGTGAAGCTGAGATTACTAAAACAATAGTCCCAGTTAGATTGCAAATCCACTAGATATTTCAAGGCACTCCAGTGTTTGCTTTGGAAAAGACATATATCCTTACAACAGCAACCTAGAAAATGTTTATGCAGAGACTAGCTACCTTTCCAGATCTGATAAAACCTGGTTTCAGAAGTGGCTCCTATAAGACTACAGTTCAGACTAAACAAGTCAACTGGTACAGACTAACTTGGGAAACCGGTAAGAAAGAGTAATGTAAAAATCAAAGATTGACGAACAGTCAGAGACTAGGCAAAACCCCAGTAATTGGTTAAAAACAATAAAATCATAGCTATAGTTACTCAATACAGAAGTCTAGAAGAGACATTATTTTTTCTCGTGCACTACAGAAAGTTACAACCCTGGAAATATGAGATAAGGAACTACTGAATTTTAGACTGGAGAAAAGCTAAACCTAGGCACAGATACATACTTTGAAGTTTAACTTTTTTTTTTTTTTTAATTAAAAGGAGATGAAAACTAATTACACGGAAAGAAACCAATCCTTTTGTTCCTTTTGCTTCCCAGTCACTTCAATGGTGGTAGTGGAGGTGTGTCAGAAAGGGATTGACCAAAAGCTTTGACACTGCAGCATCAGGCTACAGGTAACTGTAGAGACATTACAGTAAAGTAGTGCTGTATTACTCTGTTCACACTGCCACTCTTGAGCATGCCCAGGGAACTGACATTTTACTTTACAGCCTGAGGAATGCTCTGGAGAGGCAACATGTAGTTACCAAATTGCAGACAGCAGAGCAGCACCTTTCTCCACATATTGCAAACCTTCATATCAACAGTCCTCTTAACTGATCTGTCAAACACCAGACTGACGTTAGGCTAACAAATTCATTACCTATTAAGCAGTGGAAAATAGAAGCAGTAAGAATCCCAGTGATCAAGACAAAATGCTCTTGCACACTGAGGAGAGATGTGATAAACTGCTGCCTGGCAGCCCCATATAGACCTCTACAGAGGCTCACAGGTGACCTTCAGAATTTTGAGGTTCTGATGCCACCTCTAGTCGTGCCATTCCTACATCACTGCCCTGTCCCAGCTGGTCACAAAGCATATAAATTCAGCTCCAGTATAATTTGTTCCATTTCATCCACCTGCTTTTTCTCTTCAGGTATACTGCTTCTGCATCAGAAGTCTGAAGAAACCAGTCAAAACCTTCCATCTTTCATCAACATTACCTAACAAGCACATGCAGCTCACTGTTTGGATCCTTACTGCTGCCCAACAGCAACTGAAAAAGGATACTAGAAAAGATTAATGATGCCACAAGGGAATTTTACAGGTTTGTCTTCAAAACACAGGATTCCTACGTTTTGACAGCCAGTAGTTTTGAGTAACACACAACAATATGAGCACAACAGCCTACACAGAATGTATCTTGAGCCAACGGTATGAAACACACACACATCCTCTCAATTTAGTAGATGGTGCTGCTCACCAAACTAAAGCTTTTCTGAGAAGTCAGGCCCCTGCACACTAACAATGGCACATAAGCACTCCAAATATTCTTCTATATCCCTCAGCCTGCAGGGAAGAGCTTGGGAAGCAGTTTAGTTAAACATCTCTATTACTACTACTACTACTACGGAAACAAAACATGCCGTCATACTTACAGGATGTGACACAATACACTGCTTAACATGCTTAAGGCCAGTGAACAATTTGCTGGGTAAGAGACAAGAGGTCGAGCTGCTCAAGATAACATTGTCACCAATAATAAGATCTAACTGACCGAAAATCTTCTTTTTCAGTTCCAGGTTCTCCGGAGTACATTCCTAGAATAAAAACAAAAAGCAGTATTAGAAGTCTTTCAGTTCAATAGTATTTGTCCATACATTTCAGACTTCACTGATCCCACTTTGACACCTAGGAACTCAGCACAAATCATCTATTATAACCAGCCTAGATATACCAGTGAGCCATAACACAAAAATACCTTCCCACACATAGAAATGGACAGCCTGAGAGTTTCTCTATAGCAGAAGATGGACCATCACACACCACAGGAGATTTAACACAAATCAAATGATTCTGCTTTGTCTAACATACAGACTTTTACTCGTGCACACAGAAAACATAGCATGGAGGAATAAGACCTGGTCTCTTCACCCCCCCGCCAAGAATCTCACATGATAGAAATCAGTATTCTTTCTCGGACAAGGTGGAAATGAATAGGAGTATCTCAAAAGAATAAAAACGTATAATCTCCAGAACTATGGCAGGAGATTCCAAGGTACAGGTACATGAACCTGCACTGCAACATCTCTCAGTGACCCTTGCATTTAAAAAGCTTAACTATCTCCATTCATTTCAACTCTGAGAAAGATTTCTGAAGTAGAATACACGCTATCAGAACTTCTCCCAGGGATACTGAACATGTTCAGCTCTGCAGTATTGTGTGAAATTTCACATGTATGAGCCAAGAACCACAATCTACAGTCACTAGAATTTCAAAATTATCCCCAGGAGCTGCCTGAGGGAGAGCATGCAGAAGTCCACCAGTCTGGGAACAATGAGCACATGGGAGAGTAACTACAGTGGATTCCACAATCAACAGGAAAGATTTCAGTCTACAAGAAGAAAACAGGAATAAAGCCAGCTTGTGTTCTGGGTTTTTTGGAAGCATTTGAAAAAATTCAAACATGATACAAAACTTGCAAAACCTCAGCTTTCCCCTTAAAACACACAGAAAACACCTGCTCTTTTCCAACTCTAACCTTCTCCCACCTGTCAGTACTTCATTCTGTCCTTCCTGTTACACTGAACTGCACATGAGGGTAGGGAAAAAGCTCTATGTTTAATATAACCCAAAATTTACATTTAATACCTGCAGCTTCTGTGGCAGGAATGTCCAGGTCCAGAGTTTTTAACCCAGTAAATGGGTTAAAAGTAATTTGAAATCTTAAAAAATAAGTTGCATGGAACAGTACTAAAAGTTCCACAACTTAGAAAGAGATAAACAGGGTCATTTAAGAACTCTAGATAGAGCCCAAAGTAATAGTGGCCTTATCAAAACAAAATGATACTCTGCTTAGAATTTGAGGATTCCTGCTTGTTGGTTACTTTTAAATAGTTTCTTTTAGCAAAGCCAAAGATGAAGAGAACTCTGTTCAAGCTAATAAAAGAGTTGCTCTGAATAGGTTTATTGTGAACTTGAAACTCTAAGCCTCCTCTCGCATCAGATGATAATCAAAAAGGCAAACTCAAATCTGCTGGAAACTCAAACCTGCCATGGTTACGTAAGGTTTCTGAATGGGCCATTTGCTTGAAGTTTCTCGTATAGTGTCACAATTGTATTCAGGTTGTTGGATCACTGCAATAAAGTTTCTGTCCTCATCAGGCATGCAATTATTTTCTCAGAGACGACACCAATTCCCTGAAGAACATGGGGAAAATTAAGCTCTAAACAATCCATTTAACAGTAACCTCACTTGCTGTCAGTTATAGAGCCTGGAGAGGTCTGAAGCTATTCTGTTTGCCCTGAGAAAGAAAAGATCAAACAGTGAACAGATAAGATATGGTTTTTAAGCTACCACAGTCTCTCTCAAAAGAATCAGTGCAAAGAGGCTAGCACACACCTCTACGCATTTTAAGTGACACTGTATATTTCTGTGCCCTTTTTGTAGAGAAGATCACACTTCTCACTTGCAGTGAACAGTACACCTTTATTCCAAGGCTTGAGCACCTGAACAAGGTTGCTACTATCTGTCTTCCAATTTAAACTTTATTAGACATCACTTTTAACAGCCTGATCAGAACATGACAGTTGCTAATTTTTAAAACCTACCTCCTGGAAGAACTGTATTAAATTAAAGGCTTAAAGGTAATAGGCATTACACTATTCAAATACATGCTCAGAGAATACATAATAGCTACTTGACCAGCCTATGAACTCTTAAAGAACTACACAAAGATAAACATGTACCAGACTCTCTCCCCAGCTGACAACACTGACACCCAAGTTGACTAAGGTCTAGCTGCCCCTAATTAAAAAGTTGCACTCATATGACACAACCCCTTGAAGGCCAGTACATAGAAAGCTATGGAGTATTATCTGTTTAAATCCAGTGTCTCTGTTTCTGTACAGGCTTTTCCACCATGCTATCCGCCATCTGTGCTCCCACACGTCCGCATTCATCTAAGCGGATAACTTCATTTACCTATATTTGAATGCTGGCAGCTACCCAGATTCTTCCTATCCATTCTCAGATATGCCAAGTGAGCAATGCATCCATACCACCTTCTAGGAAACAATCCCCAAAACACTATCTTGCAAAATACCTTCTTCTTACGCTAGCAATGGGAATCGCTGCCAAGGCTGTGGATTTATGAGCACTGGGAGGTGAAAGAAACAAAACATGGCCAGAAGTAAAGCACTGCAATACAGTGGTATGGTCCTAAAATAAGTGGTATTGTCCTATACAAGCATGGCAGTGCAAGATGAAAGCCAAAGATTTAAATCAACACAGAGAATGTCAAAGATTAGCAACTATTCAGCAACAAGCAAGCCACATTCTGTAAGAGCATCTGGAGATGTTGTCACAGGGAGCCTCATCAAGCCCACTCAATAGCAAGTATGGAGTTTGACGGTAGTCACCACGCATAAGGAATTGCTGAGTAAAGACTCTGAAAGCCATAGCTGCACAATGACGAGTTCCCATCTCCTGACTAGATTCCAGCTGCTGCATATTCAAAAATTAATCAAGAAAACACTTCCTCCCTGGAAATCTTAATATGAAGATTTGTGCAATGTAAATTCCTGCAAGTGAAGATAGATCAATCTTGAGCTCCCCTAGACCAGCTCTCCTAGACCCTCTTTGTTCCCAGACTGAATGTTCTCTAAACAGGTCAAAGTTGTCTCTCCTGAAGACCAGGATTGTGATCCCACTTTTTGTCTTGCTTCTCTTCTCAGGATCCTCAACTCCACCACATTGCAGTCACTGCAGCCAAGGCTTCCCCTGACCTTCACATCTCCAACCAGTTCTTCCTTGTTTCTAAGTATGAGGTCCAGCATAGCACGTCCCCTGTTTTGCTCCTCAATCACCTGTGACAGGAAGCTACCATGAATGCATTCCAGAATCCTCATGAATTGTTTGCACTCTCCTGCATCTCTCCAGCAGATATTGATGTGGTTGAAGCTCTGCCATGAAGACAAGGGCCTGTGAATGTGAAGCTTCTTCCAGTTGTCTGAAGGCAGCCTTTTCTTCCTGATCAGGCGGTCTGTAGCACACATCTACCAAAGCATCTCCCACACTGATGGTCCTGTTAATCCTGACCCATAAGCTCTCAACTGGCTCCTCGTTCAAACTGAGGCAGAGCTCTGTGTAGGCTAGCTCAAAGATTTAATAAACACCCTAAGCACTACTCCTCTCCTACCTTCATCTTGCACCACCTCACCCCCAAAAGCTGCACTTCGCTGCCATGCTGCAGCTGCTACAGCGAGAGTGCCCTGTAGCCTTGCTGTACCCACAACCAAGGTACAAAATTATTTTCAAGATTTCAGTGACTTCCCTCTTCCCAGTAAATTCAACAGGGCTTCAAGTTGCAGGAAAACTGTTTAGAGCCATAACCACTTTGATTGCTACAAGGACACTCGTCATCTTCTGCAGTTAAGTGAAGATCTCCCAACAAGCCACAAACCCTGGCTCTGTTCCTCTATTTATACACATCTGATTTACAGCATTTTAAGTGGTCGCAGCTTTTCCGTACTGCAATTTAGCTGACAATTTTGAGGCGTTTCTGTGGAACAGCTCCCAGAGTCAAGTGACAGCAATCCTCTCCTCTTGTAGAATGAAGACGTAGCAGCAGCTTTCAGAGCACCAAACTATCTCACAAGCTGGACCCAGACTGTCAGCACTCCTGGCAAGAGCAACCACGTTACATCCAGCTTTTTGTGGGAATATGAAGATCTTCACAGGATTAAGAGATAAAAGAGTTCCGAATCTCAGAAAAGCAGGTTTTCTGAAAGTTTTGGTGCCTAAATCATTCATACAAATACTTTCATTATCTTCTACAGTTATAATCCACTAGAAAAAGAACTTTCCAGAAAATACTTCAGGGATAATTGCTTTATTTTCAAACTACCAAGTCACTTTAGAACGTCATATTTCTAAAACAGCCTGATTAACATAAACCTGCATAAAGGAGGGATTTTTGGATTTTAAACAGCATTCAGGTTATCTGTATAAACACAGACATTAAAAATACCTGAAAGGAAGACTTAGAAATCTAACCAAATGAAACAAAGATTTCAAAGCACTATTACTACAGCTAGTGACTGCACAGTCAAATGCAACTATTCCATATGATTTTACAACCTCTAAACAACAATAATGAAAAGATTCTTGTAAAAACCTAGTTGGCTTCAGAAAAAAAAAAGGTTGTAAATATGCTAAAATAATCTCTCTGCAAATTAAACCCTGCAATTTTACAACCAATTCTGTTCCCCTCAACGCTATAGGCAAGGTTGAGGTTACTGAAGTTCCCGAAGCAAGACTGCATCTATTTGCTCCACTTGTGGATACATACAGACCGCTACGTTTCTGTCATTACCACCATTTTACAGAATCCATATCAAAGTCAAATTATATTTTAAGGAAAACAGTGTTTAAAATGCTCAGTACTATCATTAGTGTTTCAGTGCTAATTATTTCTATTTAGGCTTTTGTATTGACATGCTTGTTTGGTCTTCTCCTGCAGGGTTTATGTCTATATTTCTGTTCTGGAAGACTGAAGATCCACCTTCTATTAAGGAAGCCAGAGCTTATTTCTTTTGTATTCCATGTCAGACACTGCTGGGCATTCTACTCAGTAAACAAGAATCATGCACATGAATCTGTGGAACTACACCACCTGCAATTAAAAAAAACAGGACATTTTGACTGCAGAGTTTGGGAGTTCAGCTAGTGAAACAAGCAGAAAAATCAAATGGTATTTTCAGTATCAGAAAAAATTATTACATCAGAATATCAATTTTGCTTTCGATATTATTGTTAACCATTACAATTTAGCTCAACTATCTAAATTTTTCCATGTGTTAAATTGGTTTGGTAATTACATAAAATTCAAAATTATTACATGTTTCAAATGCAAATACTTAACTGCAAGTATTTTGGACTTTTCCATCATGCTCCCCCCCAAAACGGTGAAGTAGTTTTAGATGCTTATTCTGAGACACTTTGAAGATGGATAGTATGTGGATATATCCGTATACCAGGATATTAATTAAGACAAAGTGCCAAATGAAAATGCATAATTTCAAACTGCAAAGATGGTGGGGGGAAAACATATTTACTTCAGTCTCCTTTTAGAAAGTGTTACTACCCTCGCCTGAGGGTAAAGGCAGAGACAACAGCTGGACAGGAGACATGCACACTCTTGCTCACCCCTGTACGGGTTTGGGATGCAGCGCAGAAACAAGAGACACGTACACGCAGCTGTTACTGAAGGCGTCCCCAGGCTATTGCACGCCTTTCAGTGTGGTGTCAGAATTCTGATCAATTAAAATGAAGATTAAAAGGGGAAAAGAAAATCACCACAAAAAAACCCCAACAACATAAGAACAATCAACAGCACAGACTATGATTAATAGATATGATTATGTTAGAGCATGACTAGAACTCGAGCCCCCAGCAGCTAGGGTCACAGGGAAAGCAAAGGGAGCATCTGGCTGTGCTCCACAGCAGGGAGGTGAGGTTAAGCAGGACTTGGCCTTGAAAACTTGGAGGTGATGCAGGAACCCAAATCATATGGGATACACATAAGGGAACAGAAACTCATCAAGCTGGTTGTCCCTTTTCCCCCTGCAGATATTCATTCCACAGACCTCGGTACACAGCTTCCTCCAAGATAGTTTCAAGCACATGTCCAAATACCAGATCATTAACAAAAATACGTTTGGCAATAAAAGACTCCTTAGACATAAAACAACTGTAGTTAGCCCAAAACAAGCCACACAGCCTTGGAAACCAAGACTTTATTTTGAACCTGAACAAGAACCAGCAGCCTATAAGCCAAGGGTAAGAAAGGAGGATAAGGACAGCAGCTCCTTTAACTGAAAAGGAGACTGACAATTTGTTAATAGCAACGAGGCTACATTATCATCATTTGACACAATTATAAAAAAAATATAAGAGGAAAGACATGGGGTTTCACATCCTGGGGCTAGTTATAGACTTTCTAAAGGGTAGGTATACACTGAAGTAAAATGCTTAACACAGGAGAGGAGAAGGAATCGCATCACATGAGGATCTGAAGAACAGGTTAACCCATTTTTGACAGACAGTCATCTAGGTATGATGGATCCTGCCTTGGGGCAGGGACTGGACTAAGTAACCTCTGAAGTCTCTTCCAGCCTGAGTTTGGATAACTCCGCAGTTGGTAGGGCAGTAAAGGTAAAGATGAATCTTCTGATAAAGGTAGGGTCTTCTTACGCATTGTTCTGCTGAGAAGCAGATTCATCAGGTTCAATTTTGTTTAAATTTTCATTCAAAATGGAGTTATAAGTGTCTTACAGCACATCTACAAGTGCCTGGCTTTTAGAAGAGTGTTAAGTTCATATTCAGAAAAGCTTTAATAGAATTCAAAACCATCAACTAAAGGACAATAGATGAGCAAGCTTATTATGGAGCAGTTGTAGAAGCAGTCAACACACCAGTACTTTCATGGCTAATCTAAATTAAAAAAAAAAAGGTAATTTAGGGCTCTAACTCACTTCAACACTAAAGTGATAACTTCTTAGTTGTCTTGAATTTATGAGCTCATACCAGTGTGAAATCTGATGCTTCTTAAATCACCACCTCTTGAGTGACATGAAAGACTGTCTACCACATGATATTGTGCAATTAAATAACACTTCGGTGAGGTCAAATCCAGCATTTAGATGGAAACATTTTGTACTTTCCTACAGTTCAGAAAAATACCCTGTTAAGGAACCGGAGCAATAAAAATATCAAGTTACTGCCATTTTATACTGTTCAGAATAAATGACTGAATTACAAGTCTCTGTTCAACCTTTAGTAGAAAATAAAAAAGGGATTTGAGGAAGTACTGATTTTCAGAACTATGTTTTCTAAAGGCAGACTTGGGAGGCTTTTGGGGGATCATGTGAGGGTTTTTGTTTGGCTTAGTTTTTGTTTAAAACATATATAAAAAGTTAAGGCAAGTTTTGCTTTACCTAGTGTCAGTATCATGCTGTAAAGAGATCCATCTTTTTCAATGATGTTCATGTGCCCTACAAAACTTTCAAGAGATAGACAGACAAGATGATCAGGCTCCTACAGAAGAGATGAGGATTCTTTTTGTTCCCTTAGGAAAAGGCAGTAAGATCTCAAACAGGTTGATTGAGAAAGGATGTGGGGAGGAAGATGTCAATGGATCAGATCTGCTCTGTTTTCTTCTACTGTGATCCTATCCACCCTAAAAAATAGGGGAAGTGATCTAGGAAAGGCAATGGAGATGCGATACAGCCCCAGAAAGGAGACCAGGGAACACTGAAAGAGAACCTGAAGAGCGAGATTAACTGCTGGGCAGGATGACAGTTATGGCAATGATGACCTCCTGTAACAGGGAACAAAACCATATTCAAGTCTCTAATGGTAGACAACATCACATGCACAGGATAGACGGGGAGTGAATGTTAAAAAATTTGGAAGGACCCAAAGTCTATTCAGCAGCAGCACCACAGCAATGACACTGGCAAGCTGTTTACTCAAACATTGTCTTTCAGTTCAACTCAAACACTGACTTGACAAAGTATTTCACAGTAAGACTTTGAGATCAGACTGTTTCAAACACTGAAGAGTTTTCTCAAAACCTGTGCAAAGACTGAGAGTCAGGTCACATGCTTAAAACTAGCTCCCTCAGAAGCCAAAACATAATTCTGGTGCCTCAAGTCAGTGTTTAAGATAAGTAGGGTAAAGCCAGGCCTAAGGTTACATTTACCCAGCTGAGAGCAAACAGACCCATGTTTGTCTGTCCAGTGCTCAGAGATGACCAGTGACCAGTCCAGAAGAAGCCATGTTAACTATAATGCTTGCACATTCTGCCTTCCAGCAGCTTTGCCTTCATGAAGGCACCTTGTTAACGCAGCTTCCAAACTGTGACAGTCTATCCTATGAGCTCAGGGCAGCTGAAAACATCTTCACCCATTGCTGTCTCCAGATATTCTTTCATCCCCAGAAGTAAAAGGTTCTTGAAAGCCATCAGGGAAGTAAAACAAAAGCTAGTGGTAGA